AGCTCCAACCTCAATTAAACACACCTGAACCAGCTAATCAAGCTCTTAATAGGCATACTAGAAACTTGAAGGCAGGTGTGTTGAGGCAAGTTGGAGCTAAACTCTGCAGGACACCGGCCCTCCAGGACCGAGTTTGGGCACCCCTGGCCTACAGCAATTGAGTAAACTAAATATGGGGCCTGTGTGAAAAACTTTTAATTTACATGAATATAATTAAAATATATAATAAAAAAGCATTCCCAAAAGACGGTGAAAGAAAACATTTGCGGTGGTTACGTGCACGACCACGCAAAACGACGCCATACAGACGCCACAATAATATCCGCCGGAAGTGCCGCGATGGTGCCACTTTTTTGTGGGGACGCGTTAAAACCGGTTCGAAGATGTGAACACCTGCTTGACGGAACTGTGTACATCCACAAAACATAAGTTAATATGGATAATATATCGCTTGTGTTTTATTTATGACGTTTTTAAGGTAGTTGAGGTTTAGTTACCGAGCTCCAGGTGAAAAAGGGCAGTTTAGCTTGTACGAGGGAAACCATGACAGATGGCAGAAAATTACTGACAGAAAGTATTTAAAATTAGTATTAAGCGTGACTTCACTTGTTTGAGGTGAAATCTGAGGATTGGCACAGTTTTGGACCAGTTATGGCTGCGTTCTGGAGAATGTTTGGGTGAGTTTGAATTTGAATTTAAATGAGTTTTAACTATGGTACTACTTTAGTGTAAAAATATAACATCTATAGAAAATTCACACCCTCCCTTAAGAAAATGTCTTGCTATCAAACTCATAATAAATTTCCTTAGACTTCTCAGCATCTTTTATTACCTGCTCTATTGGTTGTATAACAATGGTGGGCATGATGGGTTATGTTCTGTACCCGTTCCTTTGTGTGATTTAATAAGTTTTTCTGCCCCTAAATTAATATCTGAAAGTAATAGCACATACATTTATAGCTTATTTACAAAAATAAAAGAGGAAGAAAAAGACATTTCTGTGATTTGCAATCATTTGCCCATTGCAATCATTTGTACATTCTGAGTTATTCCAGTATTTCATATTTTCTATATTTATGTAACTAAATCTCTTATTTCCTTAATTTGACGTTTCTCCTTTTATGTTCCACCGAAGTCATACAGGATTTCGGACGACATAAGGGTGAGTAAATTACAATAGAATTACATTTTTTGGGTGAATGTTTCCTTTAACTTAGTCATATTTGATATGTTGTAGTAGATTAAATATGTAAATCCTAAGAGCAGTGCTGTAAGTGAGTGTTTTAAGTTTCATATCTACACACAGCACCCTTGGTTTGTCTGTTTAGCCTCTTGTCTTGAATTCTCTCTCACATACACGCTCACACTCATCAATCAGCTGCCCCAACTATCACGTCTCAATCTCAGACAGACTGCTCTCTGGAACCTGATCAATCAGTCTCCCTCTGTGAGCCCCGCGCACCCGCGACAAGACAAGGTCTCGGCTGTCCCTCGAGGTGCCTGTCTGAAACCTGTCACACATAAATAATGACAGGAACATCATTAGAGGCCTTATTTATAAGGACCCTGCCGGATAAATCCTCTTTATCGTGCTCTCTTTTTATCCTCCATTAAACTTTATGCACAAGCCTCCGTGGAGGAGAACAAAATACCGAGGTTCGTTCAAGTGAAGGAGAGAGACTATAGACTGAAGGTGGTTAAAGAGCAGTGCTTTGGCCTAAGGCCCAGAACATACTCTATGCAAGTACGTGAACGCAATCGTTTCTAGTCACGCAAGCTCGATTTCATGCATTGCTGCGTCCAACTCAAATACGCACCACGTTCTCAACGTTGCTGCAAGGGCCAATATAACGGACATTAACGTAAACGGTTTCTTTCTGCAGCCAGTTTTCTCTTTCAGGTCAACTACTGACATGGCAGAGCAACAGTTTGAAGAAAATCTTGCTGAGAAAGTTAAAGCTGATAAATTAATATCTAGCTGGCAGAATAACAACATCAGTTTTGATTTTACAGACATTAAGTAACTCTGTTTGTGTGTTTGCATTGTCGCAAAGCAATGATGTGTGCTTGAAATATGTGTCAGGCTTTAGTCATAAACCCTAAAATTATCTGCAGCTCCTTTAGCATATTCATATGCATATTCATATTTCCCATTTCATATTCATAGCAGCGTACTTATTCTAATGGAGGTTAATATAATCCAGAGAGGCACTTAAAGGCGTATCACATGACTGAGTCCGCTAGTCCTTCACACTCCAGAATCGCAGTCTGCCGCTGATGTTATCTCTAATAATTGTATTGTTCTCGCTGCGCTTATCACATTAATAATATTTGGCAAGTCTTCAAGGGGCATTCAGTTACACTCCTAACTGTGGTTAATCTAATTCTGTGTTTGCCACAACAAAACCTTGTCCTGGGGCAAATGATTCAATTATTAAATATATGTATTATGTGCATGAGAGGTTAGCACAGTGACTTTTGAAGCTTGGGGAACTATTTATAACCAACTAGATTTTATAGCAGTATGATTTCATTTCAGCTTCAACTTTTACATCAGCTTCTTTCCATCAACATCATTCCATCATTGAAACTAAATGGTGACATGAAAGCTGCTTTCAGCAATGACTGATTTAACATGATATGAGTTAATTATTTGGATTTATCAGTTGCATTTATCTCTCTAGTGTTTAATAAATTAATGCCAAGACCAGAAATATAAAACGCCAGTCCTCAGAGGTAAATATGCAGAGAGATAAAAAAAAAGCAGAAAATACTGCCAAAGGGAACAGACAGTCAGTTTAAATTTTTTAGTTATTTGATGAATTTTAACCCTTTAAACTCAATTACCGTGCTGACCGTTTCTCTGATGCTATTAACAAAATTATTATCCACAGTCTAAACATAGGGCTGAATTTTATGAAGGAAAAATAATAATATTATTCAGAAATATGTTTTTTTTTTTCAAAGAGAGAAACAAACCTATTAAAAAACACCTCCTTAAAGGTTAAGTGTGTAATTTCTGCGCTGTCGAAAGAAAATGCAAAACTAATGATTGTTTTCCAATGGCATGGTGTTTACACTTCTCTAGGAAATCAAGTTGCCAATGGCCAAGTAAAGTTCTTTGTATTGTATGTGTATGGAGGAAAAAGAAATCTGCTTCATGTGCTATGTGAACACACAGTCAAGAGTTATCAGTATGCAGTTAAAGTCATCACTCCATATGTTGACCTTACCCTCGAACTCGGGACTCTGAGCACAGATATGTCTTAATATCCCAGAGCAGTGAAATATGTCCACAGAGACATTTCAATTATTCTGAATTAGACTAGAACCATTCATTAATGTTTAAATTCAATGCAATGGGAAGTACTGTGAAAATTGAGACAATTTTGTTAGCATTGAACCTTGGTATACAGACATATAATAGGTGATTCTGTAAAGGTAGGATGAATAGAACTGTTGTTTAGAAGCTTTGCATTTCTTTATTTTACTTCAGCCTGTTATTTGCCATTCACAAATGTTCACATATGTATGCCGTTGAACTGGAGTAGCAATGAGATTTGGAGTAGGATTGGTTATGTTTTACTTTTGTAAGTTAATAGGATTGTTAAAATGTACACACTACACTTTCACTGGGCGAAGTTCACCAGCATGCTGTTAGTGACATTATAGCATGCCCTACTGCACTTCCATAGTGTTTTTTTTCATGCATAGCTCTGTTTCTACATTTCTGCTGTATATGTGGATTACAAAGTGCCTCATGTGCGGCCTTACATCATTTCTTTCCCATCTTTTTTGTCTAAAGCCAGTTGTAAGTCATTATACAGGTGCATCTCAATAAATTAGAATGTCGTGGAAAAGTTCATTTATTTCAGTAATTCAACTCAAATTGTGAAACTCGTGTATTAAATAAATTCAATGCACACAGACTGAAGTAGTTTAAGTCTTTGGTTCTTTTAATTGTGATGATTTTGGCTCACATTTAACAAAAACCCACCAATTCACTATCTCAACAAATTATTCCATGACATTCTAATTTATTGAGATGCACCTGTATTGTCCATGAACATATATTCCTAGAAGATTAAACAAATTAATTCATTTTGCCACAGCTTTGATGATTAATTGTGTCTCCAACCCTCTACATTGCGAGTAAATCACTTGAATATGCCACTCAGTCTTACTCTGGGCGACTAAATAATGTCTAACATTAGCCATTGGCTAATAAATTCTTAGATTTTACACGCCAGTATGTGTATGAGAGGTGTTCAACACAGATTTTCACTCGATAAACACGCTGACTGAGCGCTTGAGAGTTTCGCTCTCCGTCAAGCGATCTGTACTATTTGGATGCGCTC